CTGCGCTCCGTATGAAAAAAGAAATGATTCTTCCGTCATCTAAAAGTCATGCGACAACGTCTCCTTGCTTTCTGGCGTAGAAATCAGCAAGAAAGTCCCGTTTTCATGCAGGATAATGCACCAGTTCATGACAGTCGAAGCACTCGAGCGTGATTCAGTTGTCACCAAACCGCTCTTTTGCCCTGGCCAGCGAGTAGCCCCGACTAAAACCCAATCGAGGATGTGAGGGGCTTCATGGTGCGTATGATCCATGAGAGTAATGCACAATTCCACAAGGTCCGTGAGCTTAGGGAGTTAATCATTGGGGCAGTCGGCCGACAGCCTATTAAAATCTCTAATCGAACATGGGCAACCGTATTTTCCAACTTAATTGGAGAAATAGAGTTCCAATAGATTACTGGATCAAAATTTATTCATTTTATTGTACATTTGTTGTTGAAATATTCGATTTGTTCGGTGGAACTATCATTTTGCTGCGTTGTCAGAACGACCATTTTTGAAAAAATTGACGAAAAAAAATTGTTTTTTCAAGTTAGTGTTTGTTGTTGGCATGCGAATTGGTATTGGTAATTACCACATTTTGTATGGGGGCATTTTGGAAAACGTCGTGTAAGACAGGATTTTGTGAGATTCATGGGTGGAACTATGATTATGCTTCGCAGTGTACAATTCAGTCTTTTGTTATTAGGTTGTCCGGAAAGTTCTCAGCGTTTTGAGTGTTTCACTTTAAACGATCATAACTTTCTTAATACTCATCGGATTTAATCGAAATAAGCACCGTTCGAATCAGCACACTTTTGCCAATGTGACACAGTCGATAAATCCCATCAAAGAAAAACTGGGTGGTCGAGAATCCACGAAATCCACGAAGGCTTTTTTGCCTGGTCCTGATTGATGAAGTATTTTCCAGCAAGGAAGTTCTGAAAATGTTTGAAAAGGTGATAGTCGGTTGGTGAAAGGTCTGGAGAATATGGCGGGTGAGGTAGAACTTCAACCCCAATTCGTTCAATTTATGGATAGTGATTTGTGAAACGTGTGGGCGGGCGTTGTCATGCAAAAGAATCGGACCCTTTCTGTTGACAAGTGCTGGCTGCAGCTGACGCAATTTTCGGTACATTTCGTCGATTTCTTCACAGTAGGACTCTGCTGTGATGGTTTGGCCTGGTGACAAAAAGGATCACACCAGCCGATGACCACCACACTGTGACCATAATCTTTTTTTCGTGAGGATTCGGCTTTGGAAATTGCCTCGGTGGTTCGTCGGCATCCAACCACTGTCCGGAACGTCTCCTGTTCATACATGATCCACTTTTCATCACAGGTGACAATTCGGTCCAAAAACGGGTCGTTTCTGTTGCGCAAAAGCAGTGAAGAAGAAACCTCGAGACGTGCCAATTTCTGCCGGTCACTCAAATTGTGGGGCACCCACTTGTCGAGTTTTTCACCTTCCCAATGCGTTTCAGACCATCCGCAACAGTGGATTTGCCAACGCCTAGCTTTTCTGCAATCTCTCGAACTGTTTGGGATGGGTCAGCCTCCACAAACGCCTTCAAATCCTCGTCAGGTATTGCTTTAGGTCGACCGCTACGAGGTTCATCTTCAAGGCTGAAATCTCCAGAACGAAACTTTTTTTTTTTTGTTTTTTTTTTTTTTTTTTTTTTTTTTTTTTTGCTTTGTCGAACCATTGTCGCACGGTGCTTTCTCCAACACTATTGGGCCCCACACCTGGTTAATTTGTCGAGCTGTCTCGACTGCGGATCAGGGCACAGCATTAGTTGGGGATTTTGGTCGAGCCCGTACGACCCCTCCCCTTTTTTTCTCCCTCCAGCCCTCTGTTCCTCCTCATCGAGTCGAGCTGGTCCGTCGAGCGGGAGGGAGGGGGGCATATAGGGCATATAGTACGCATGAAACAGGAAAATCACCAAAAGTCAACCACCACTCCTACAACGCCAAAACGTAAATACGACCCCCTCCCTCCCTCCCAACAATGACCAAATACGAGCCCCCCTCTCCTGGCGGCCAAATACGACCCCCTTGGGGATTCCCCAACAATGCTGTGCCCTGCTGCGGATTGACCCAATTTGTAGTTGAAGAAAAATATCGTCCGAAGTTGCTCTTTTGACATGCTTCAAAAAGTCTTGGGAAAAGGGGGTTTATCAAGCAATGGTGAAACGGCAATTATACCATCAGATAGCGCAAAAAAATTCTCTTCAGGATGTACTACTGAGACGCAAGGGAGAATGAGTTTTTAATCAGCAATGAATGTACAAAAAATAGTAACACAAAACGCTGAGAACTTTCCGGACAACCTAATAGGCGAATTGTGTAATCTCGGAGAAAAACATGTAAAGAAGTACAATGGCCTAGCTGAAATGGGGAGAACTGTGAACAATAACTCGGAGTCAAGTGAACCACTTCCCACGAAACGGTAAGCCTCTTTTCTCGTAAAGCATTCTGTTCACCCATCCCGGTGCTCTTTACTCCTGCCCCAAGTGAAAACTTATCTCTGTGGCTCACAATCACCATTTACAAACACCTTTCTAAATGGAGTGCTGTCCCACGTCCCAAAATAGCAAAAAAAATCAATAATCAATTGAACTGGTTAAAGTTCTTCTCACTTCCGTTACCTATCGAGCTCAAATCAGATCAATCGTGTTTTGTTATCCAGGTATGCAAACTGAATGTCTGGTTTCTTAACGTATCATATCGCTCGTAGTATTGCCGGACAGGTTCACATGAGCGTCTTTTGCTCTCCTAACAATAAGGCAAACTACCAGAAGTGCTACGGCATAGTTTAACCAGACGTTGGTCTGTATGCCACTCGTTCTACAGGCTGACGACCCAAGGATCCCTCGAGTTTCCGGTTTCCTTTATAATGAAATGGCACAGAATTCGTGTCCATCCAATGGGAACATCGATTTGCTGACTCAAGCGAGATTCAATTGGGGCTTATAACACTTGTCCGGAGTGTGTGATCGGTTTGGTTCATGGAACAACTCACCGAGGTAATCCCGTTTTCAGTCATTGCCACACCAGATTCCATGAGGAGGAATACGTCCAACCAAACAGTCTTCAAAACGCATTTGCATCCACTGTCCATAATGTTTGCTACCGGTAGTCTAGGTTCTGTTTGGTCCAAGGCGTTGACATACTATCTACGGTTGTCGTCGGAGCAAAAGGTTCCGGGAAAAGTGCTGAAATAGTGAAGCTGTAATAGCATGTTTCATTTTTTATGTTAACTAGATAGTACCGCTGTAATTACTAACTGGGAGCTGGAAGTTTGAGTTCGGGATTCTGTTGTTGTTGACCCAATAGCCGTCGAAGTGTTTTTTGTAGTGGTTGAGGTAGTTGACGGCGTGGTTGACGTGGAATGTGACAGAGTTGTCGTCGTAGTTGACGGTGTCCTTGTAGTAGATGACATTGGAGGTATCGCTGACGTGGTTGACAGTGTAGATGAAGATGACATCGGAGTTGTCCTCGTCGTAGTTGACAGTGTAGATGTAGATGACATCGGAGGGGTCGTCGTCATGGTTGACGGTGTAGATGAAGTGAAAGCTCGAAGGGTCGTGTAACGTGAACTTGGAACTGTCGTGTATTCGGCGGATGTCGTTTCCGGATCTTCAGATGTGTGATCAAAATCTATTCCATAAGTGGAAGTTGGAACTGTCGTGTATTCGGCGGATGTCGTTTCCGGATCTTCAGATGTGTGATCAAAATCTATTCCATAAGTGGAAGTTGGAACTGTCGTGTATTCGATGGATGTCGTTTCCGGATCTTCAGATGTGTGATCAAAATCTATTCCATAAGTGGAACTTGGAACTGTCGTGTATTCGGCGGATGTCGTTTCCGGATCTTCAGATGTGTGATCAAAATCTATTCCATAAGTGGAAGTTGGAACTGTCGTGTATTCGACGGTCACACTCGGGTCTTCAGATGTGTAATCAACATCTACTCCATGTCCTGAATTAACGTATTATGCAAAAAGCAAAACTGTGTAGCATGAGCTTGGAACGTTGAGTAATGGAAAAAAAAACTATGCAACGATGAGCAGCATAGCCGTCTAAACAAGCACTCCCAGTATGAGTGGTATCCGCAGTTGTGCCCAAATACCGCCGCCTTTGAAACGAAGTAATTGGACCCACCGCCATCAGGATGAGCAAACACTACACCCTTAACTATTCTAGTCATTGAGGGTTTCTAGAGATCCCTATTCGAAACCCAGGAAGTTTAGCTCCTCTAGCCATTGTTACAGCTCACGGAGGAGGTCTTCTAGGCCAAGTAGCCCATTTTCAGAACTGGTTGTTGCATGTTGTAGAGGTTCATCTGCGGGCCAAAAAAAGTCTAATTTCGCTCTTCTGTACAGTGTGCTGCTGGTGATTCGAGTCCCCTAGGTGGCAAAATTCTGAGCTTCTGCAATTCCAAAGTTGCTGTGTCCATATAATCTACAACCTTTTATGTGAATAAAAACGTCCAACTAGTCTTTTGTCCAAAAACCGGAAGATCATTCTATCACTGAGTCGTCGTAAATCCGTGGAGCTTTTTTCACCTCTTCTTGGCAGTTCAGTAGCGCACAGCGGAAAGAACTACAGTTTCATGGTCTACACGTTGATTTCTACAACATGCAAATGTCCGTTTCAAAATTGGGCTTCACCACCTCAACGGTCTCCCTTGTGAGAAGTCAGCATGACGATTTCTCGCAAAGCACTGCCGCGGTAGTTCTTGATCCTGCGTGTGAAGTTAACTTGACTAAGAAGTAAAATGAAGCGTTCTTGTGCGCTTTGTAGAATATAGTCATGGGAAATCTTACACTCAGAGTCAATCACTGTCGTTCTTATTTCTATACTCACAACGATTTGTCGGCCTGAGGTCGGCCACTCTCTTTTTTATCTCTTTTTTTTTGCATTCTCTTTTTTTGTAAGTCGTGGCTTGTGGGATTCAAACCTGGTCAAGCTACAATTGAAGAAAAAGCTGAAAAACATAAGACCGCCGACAACCTTTCAACTAGCTTTGGCGATTGATTTTGAGTATGGGCAGAT